ACCCTAGCACCTCGTTCATCCTCTCGCGGTGGTTCAGGAGGAGGTCGGATCATCGCTACGATTATTGACACAAACAAGGCACATCTCCGGCCCGTCGCTCGACCGATTTCCTGGCGTGCAACCGCCGTCTGCCCCGCAATTTCAGCTCCTTTGGACGCCTCCCTTTCTCCCTCCATTGGCTCCTGCAACTCCTTCTCCATCGGCCGCCACAACATGCCTAGCGATGTTCCTGCGAACAATTCCTTCTCTGCTAACATAATCGTCGCTCCAAAGGACGACTAAATCTAAACGCCGCATACAAGATGACAAAAACCGGAACCCTTATTCAAGGGACACGGCCGCAGGTAGAGGAGGGTTTCGTTTTCTATATACTCTTGAACTTTTAAAAAGTGTAAAAAATTTTACTTTTATTGACTTTAATTAGATAAAATAAATTTCAAACAACACCAGAAATATACTAAGAATTTAAAATTTAAAAATAAAGAGTTTCTATTATGTTAGAATATTAAATCTTTAATTTTGAATTGAAATTTATTATTTTTCCATTGTAGATGAAGCACTTCAAATTCATAAATATTGATGTTAGTCTTATTGCGAAAGTTTGAACACATTGCTACATAACATTGTTTGATTTTGTTTAACCTTAATAAAATTAAATTCACTATTTTGTAATATTGGGCTATTTAGCATCATACAAAATATGTAATTTTATTGTGTGAAGAATGCATTTTTTTTTACATTGCAACACATATGTTAGCACTTTTCGAAAGAATCTTAAATATATAGTAAAGTTTTGAAATAATATTTTATACTAACAATATTAAATTGTGATATAAAATCAATAAAAGGGAGAGTTGGACACAATTACATTTTTTATTTTTTATTAGTTTTTAATTTCGAATCTCGAATTTATTTTTGTTTTTTTTTTTGAAATTTATTTTATTTAAAGTCATAAGGATACATTTGCTTCTTTATAAAAACATGACAGATATTTTTGCACTTCTTTAAAAGTTCAAGGATATATATGAACTTCAAAATATACTTCAGGGGTATATTTGTTCCGAGAAATAGAACATGAGCATATTTCTACCTTTTTCCTTTAACAATTAGTTGAAAAATCGTATGGTTGTTCAAAACATCTGATTGTTGTGGAGCTTTTAGTATTTAGATTTGATGTACTGTTTTGGGAAGAAAAGCATATAGGCCAATTCTAACATTTACAATGATAATCATGGTTGTAGTTTTAGGGAATGGAGTTGTCAAATTGCTTCATGTATGGTTGTCTCTCGCATCATTCTGTCACAAATGAAATCGAGATGGAGACCTAATTCCCATTAGTCTATTATTTCAGAATAAAAAACCATTAGTGTTGGGACAGAGTATCGAATTTTATACCAAGAAATTTCTCAAAATGAGAGTAAATAAAGTACTATCTCAATTCCACAAAACTTTGTCAATTTTCTCTTTTCGGTCGCTCCAAAAAACTTTGTCGTTTCTACTACTTAAAGTAACAAATATGTGGATAAAGTTATTTATCTCTCATCTGCACAAATATCAACCGCACTGTTTTTATTTTATTAATCAACGTGCAAGTTAACATTGACCAAATTTTATGAGATGGATGGAGTAGTATTCTAACTAGATTTTATCAATTCAAGATCTAAAAGATAGATTAATTGTCGAAAAATGTCCTAAACGGGACTAACGAGTCTTTGAAAAGCACACAAATAGGACTACTACTTTTAAATTCCCCAAATAGAACTAAACATTGATTTTCTTCCCTAAATACCCCCCTAAGGGTATAATTCATAATGAAATGTTTTAATTCATAATAAAATCATAATAAAAATAAATAAAATATTTATAAAATACATTTTTTTTTGAATTTTTGTTTTTTTAAATTATTATTAATTTTTTATGATAATTATTTAATTATCAATTAAAACATTTCAAAATCTACAAGGGTATATTTGTCCACACACATTGACACACATAAATAGTCTTATTAGGGAAATTTAAAAAATGTAGTCCTATTTGTTCAATTTTTTCACTTTTTAGCTCTATTTGGGGAATTCACTCATTAATTATCAATTTGAGATTTGAATCGACGTATAGGGCTCGAATGATTCCAAATAGAATTCACTCATTAATTACCAATGTAGGACCCAACATTCCATAAGTTAACAATGTGACAAAATGTGTAGAACCACAAATTAATTGCTTTAATAGGAAAGTGACAAAATTTTTTGGGACAACCAAAAAAGAAAAGTTAACAAAGTCTAATGGGACGGAGGGAGTAATAAAATTCATGATAACTTAGATCATAGATAGATAGTTTTCAATCAATCGAGACAAGTACTGAAACATTTCATCTTTAAGGTCATATATCATATACGAAGTATCTTTCAAATCCCAAATGATAGCCCGCAAAATATGAGTAAAATGTTTTTTCTTCAATAGAAATGAAGTTTAATTATTCCAAACTCATGATATTTTGGCGTTATGGTAGTACTAATGTCGTATTTGGCAGTTGTTTTACAAAATGATAGCAATTACACTTGTTTTGAAAAAATAAACACAATTATGTTCTAAATTTCATATTGTATTTAAATTTGTATAAAGCGATATTACATTGTTTTGGCTCCGACTTTGTAGTACCACTATAACTGTATAACATAACATACTACTTTATTGGTTAATGATAACAAACTTTAGACAATTATTTTAATTAGGGAAAATGGAAACTAATAATCCAACCTTTTAGCGATCTTCTTACAATAGTCCCACCTTTTCATTATTAATTTGAAAACTATAAGACAACCTTTTGTATACTTCTTCCGTCTCTTTTTAGTTGCAACAGTCAACATTTCACGTTTGCCAATGCACAACTTTGATCGTCATTATATTTAATTATGTATTAGTAAAAATAAAATAAAAATCAGATTATAAAACTTAGTAATGAGACAAATTTAACAATATTTTTCAAAAAAATAATAATTCACATACATCAATAAATAAAATGTAGCCAAAGTAAAGTATATGAATAGTGTATATATTCCAATGTTGCAATTAATGGGATACGGGGATAGTATAATTTAAAAAAAATATACTTTTATGAAAACATTTGAAGGAACATTTTAATAAAATTTTCATATTCAAAAATGTTTCGTAATAAAAAATATCATATTCAAAACTGATAATCATTGACTAAGAGAAAAACAATTTGGCAAAATTTTAGGAATGAAGGGAGTACTTTTCTTCCTCCGCGAAACAGATTTGCCAACAAAACAATTAACCAGATTGACTTGTGGTATTTTATTTCTCCCCAATTTTAAATTAGTGTTAATAATTGTGGAGTAATCGATATATATATATATATATATATATATATATATATATATATATATATATATATATATATATATATAAATAATATATATATAAGGATCTTTTTAAGAGCATACAAAGCGCCACATAATCCTGCTATGTCATTATATATAGCAATTATTTACTTATTTTTATACCTTTTGTTTTTATTAGATTCTATTTTTGATTGCATATTGATATGGAAACAAAAAAACTTATAAATCCACCTTAATTAATTTGGTAAGCTTCAAATAAGTAAAATAATTTTGGGTTACCAAAGTGAAATTCTAATAACGTTTATTGATATGGAAACTAATTTATATTAGTTTACTACACCGAATTAAATAGAAACACATGTGCAAATTAGTTTAGTTATTAATTTGACACCTATTAATAAATTAGTAAGCTTCAAATAAGTAAATAATTAAAATGAAATTAAAAATTATAACCAACATAAAGTATATATATTTTCACAAGTAAATATGTTTAGCTTAGCCAAATAAGTAATTTTTTTTGGTTGTTTCTTTATTTTACACCTAAAATTCATATATGCCTTCACTTTTGAAATAGATTCATAATCCAAATTAGAAAATCTTTATAGGTTTACGAATTCCTACTTTTATTTTAATTGAATGTTTTTAATTGGATTGATTTCAGTTCCAGATTAAATCAGATCAGATCAAACTTTAATAATTATAACAATAAGTCACATAAAAAACAGACATATAATAGACCATATTAATTCATACCAAATCAAATCCGAAATTTTAATTCAATTAAAAACGTTCTTATTAATGAGTAAACCGTAAGATCTAACAATTAAGAAATATAGTTTTTTTATTATTAGGTTCATAACAATTATGTTTACTTGAGATGCTTATGTAGAAGACCAATTTAACTTTTTTTCATATTTTTTTTCTTTGTTTCACAAATGGAATATATTTCACATATATTTTTCATGATTCAGAAGATTTCACCTATTTAACCAGAATTCAATCAATTTCAGCAAAATAAGTTAATTCTATTTACTTTAGTATTATCAAACAGACTCTATATTAGACTAAGTTTATTTTTCTTTTAAATCACATTATATGTGATCCGATAGAAATTAAATTTCAAATTAGCTAAATTACATCTTGAAAGAGTTTTGTATTTAAAAAGAGTTTTGTCACTTTCAATCCCCCGACTATTATACCAGGAAGGCAGTAACATTTTTGATATTCCACTTCTAATTCTTCATTTTTACTCTTTTGACTATTGTACAAAACACTTTTAGTCCTTACTTCAATGTTCTCGATATTTAGTCTCCCCAATATTATAAAATTGATACTTTTAGAGTTTTTGTCTTCCACTATTGATTTTGCCATCGAGTGAAAGATGAAGAATATCACTACTATTATTGTAATAGTTGAAGAATCAAAAGTGTCATTTTTATGAAAGTTGAAAGACGGATTATGATTTTTTTCAAAGACGGGTACCAAAGTGTCTTTCGTAGTTTCGTATAATAGTTGAAAGAAAAAAGTCAAAAATTCAAATTCAAGTACCAAAAGTGTCACAATAATTGGAGAATTAAAAGTGACAAAAACTCTACTTAAAAACCGGACTTAAAGTTCTGTGCAACCGGAAGAATCAGATTCGAAAATGACTATCAATTGATGCTCAAATTCGAGAACGCAAAGAACTTGCTTCGACCAAAGACAAGTATTCTGAAAATCATCATGGGACCAGAAGTATAATTAAACACAAACTTTCTTTCATAAGAATTCTCGGTCTGATAGATAGATGTACATAAAAATTACCAGAAAGTCTAATAACAAAACTCTGGGACAATCCAACACGGATAAAAATCGCCAGAGAAAAATGAGCATCAATAATGGTGCAAGTTTGCTGGTCTCATGAAAGAAAAAAGATTGATTTTATAATAAATAAATTAAAAGGAGGATAAGATTTAGAGGCCCAAGACATGGAGCATAATGGCATTCTGGGCATGCATCCTGTTTTCAGCTTGGGTGAACACAATTGAGTTTGCTGTTTCTACTACCCCATCAGTCACCTCCACCCCTCTTTCTGCTGGTAAACAATGCATGAAATACGCTTTTGGGCCCGCTAATTTCATCAGCTTTTCATCTACCTGTGCATAGTTATCAAATCATCAGTGCATCACATCCATGTTTCATATGACCAAATGAAGACTGAAGAAGATGTATCCATTTTGAACGGTAAGTTATTTTCTTGAATTTGTTTTATGTTTTCTATATTTGTACCAAGGACATTATATCATACGAGTATGTCATAGATCAACTTATATTTAAAAAGAATCATTTTCCACAAGTTTTTGTTTGTCATTTTCCATAACTGAATTAAATCAAGAACAAATAAAACGATATCTAGCTAGTAAAACTGTAAAAGTCATACCTGAAACCCTTGAAAGACTTTACGTCGATGTGCTGCTTCTTCCTTTTGGCCCATGGAGGCCCAAACATCTGAATAAACAACATCAGCTCCTTTAACAGCTTCCTTTGGGTCATTAGTTATTTCAATTTTGCCAACTCCCGCTTGTTGTGCGACTTCAACCGTCTTCTGATCAGGCTCAAACCCTTTTGGGCAAGCACAAACAAAGTGGAAAGGAATCACAGAAGCTAACAATAGCCAAGAGTGCACAATGTTGTTTCCATCTCCAACGTAGACAACCTTTGTCCCTTCAAGATGTCCAACATGTTCAATTATTGTAAGTGCGTCGGCCATTATTTGACAAGGATGGTTATAGTCTGTCAGGCCATTGACCACAGGTACGCTTGCATATTTGGCTAGATCCAATATATCCTAGAATAAAGGAAAAACTCCGCTGAAATTAATTATACTAACTTGTGTCTACTTCATCCTAAAAAGGATCTCTAAGAGGTGAAATACATACACCACACACTTATATACTATTATACTACACTCAGAGTCTCAGACCTCCTAGATAAATGTGGGATACTCAACATACCCCATCTTAGGCCCTTTTATTATAGTTGTGAGTTTGGAGCCAAGTGGTGCGATGAAAATCTAGCTGCAGTGGTGAATTCAGTATTTAGAGATGATGTCAAACACAGCTATAAACTCGACATTTGTTTCATAAACTAACTATGTGGGTGTGATTGAAATGTTAAAAAATATCAACAAAAATTGTTATTTTTAAAAATTAACATAATTATTCAAAAAAATACTCCATATTAAGCTGAAGTAAAAAAATACTCCATATTAAGTTGGAGTAATAGTTTTAAAATAAATCAAAGCGAAATTACAGGAGTTTTCAAGCTGCATAGCAAAAGTAATATGAGACATTGTCAACAATCTCACCATACAGCAACAATTCACGTAAAACAACTCCAATCACTTTATTCTAGTACATAACACTCACCAAGCTCACCACTAAAAACAACCCATGATGGGGAAAACCATGACCCGGAGCTGCCACTAAAAACGCCACCACTCATGACGGGGGAAACCACTGCCAGTTAAAAACGAGCAGGCTACTTAAACATTCCGGGATCCTAAAAAGCCGTTGACAGGCGTCCCCTCCACCTGTTCTCCAGCTTCAAAGGGGTTCCCCAACCTTTCCAGTGCCAAGTCCAAGAACGACACAGCTGCACCACCGGAGGGTTTACACCCTGGTTGTGAATGAAAAGAGAAAGCTGAGGGCGAACACAATGTTCGTCGTTTGAAGCACAAACCGACAGTGAAGACCACCAGACCCTATCTAGCTGAATCTGCTTGTGGCTCATGATTTGCTCGCATCCCTGTTCTCCGGCCTAGGAAAACCGGCCAAGGACTACAAGTTCCAGGATTACCAAACTCCACCAGTACCACCGTACGTCCTCATCTTATGCAGAAAGAACATCGTATTCACGCCGGTCTTCTCCAGTCATCTTCTCCGGTAGATTTTCGACGGGGAAACCTGTGCAAACCCGTAGGCCAAATCCCCAACCTTCCGGCACCAAACCTCCATGGCCAACCCGTTCACCTCCGTCGCTCACCCAAACTACTTCGACCCCAACAAGAGTGAGGCATCCGGCGTTACTGACGGTTGGTTATGGTGGCTCTAAGCTTTCCGGTGAGTTCTTCAGCCCTTGGCCACAGCCTTCCGAGTCATTCCAGCCTATCAGACATCTAAAACTTTGAAACCCTCCTTTCAGTCCTAAACCATTCATCCGACCCGTTCACCTCCGTCGCTCACCCAAACTACTTCAACCCCATCAAGAGTGAGGCATCCGGCGTTACTGACTGTCATCCGAGCAAGTTCAGTACATCCCGTCGAGTTCCAAAGCTGAAGGCGGATAGGCAGGAACAATTAGCTCACACAGTCCTTAGCACTCCATATTTTCCGGCGAACTCCGACCAACAAGCATCCAGGAACCACCGAAGTGGTTAAGAGCCTATTTCCAAAAATATGTAATCAGAATACCTCCGCACCTGAGACCCGCCGGAGCCAGGAGGACCCCGGCGGCGGCGGCCACCGTGAGTGGTGGTGCCAACCCGACCGGAAGAGTCTAGCCTCGAAAGCTAGAGAGAGACGCTCTCAACTTCCAGATCTTACCGAGTTCTTTAGTTAGGAGTGGACTCGGGCCAGGCCAACCGGTCCGGAATCGGACCGGCCCGGTGAACCGGTTGGTTGCCCGATTCGGGCCACCCGACCCGGTGAACCGGTTGGTTGCCCGGTTCGGGCCACCCGGCCCGGTGGGATGGCGGTTCGAGCTCGGGCCCTTCAAAAGGTGAATCGGCCCGGGCCGGGTCAATTTATTATTTTTTTTTTGAATTTTTTTTTAAGTTTTTGGGTTGGGCTGGGTATTTTGGGCCATTTGAGGTGGTTAGGGTTGGTTTGGGGGTGAGGGCGAGGGTTGGGGGTTAACTAGGAAAAGCCAAAAAAAAAAAAAATAGAACTGAGGCCCGGCCCGGCCCGGACCCGGGCGTTACCCGGGCTGGTTCCGGGCCTCCTCTTCATGAACCGAGGCCCGGCCGGGCCCGAACCGGAACCGGTCCACCCCTATCTTTAGTAGATCTTACCAAGTTCTGATAATTAACCCCTATTTTTGTCCCATTAGATTTCACCGACTTTCCTTTTTTGTTTGAATAGAAAATTTTGTTACTTTGTTTTTAAATAAATGAATTGTGATTCCGTTTATTTCTGTCCCTTCTACCCAAATATGAATCATATAATTTTTTTATTTTATTTTATAGCCAATGCAAAGAAGTCAATGTCTAATGAAATGGAGAATATATGTTTCGAAATTTCCTCAAGCATGACGCATCATTAAAGTAAATTAGTTACGATAGTATTAAATTGATAAGCATCACAAGCAACTACCAAAGTTGCAGACGAAGTTTGGATAAGGCATGCAAATCTGTTGGAAAGAATCAGCTCCAAAACCGCAATGGAAATTGGAGTATGGTCAAGACTTCCAAAACCTTCCAAAATATGGGGTTTCATGTCTATCTAAATGGTTAAAGATAATATTTCTACATATATATTGACAGAGCAGAGCTCTTTCTCGATAGCAGAATTGGTGGATAATATTAACAATTGGAATTAATTAAGCTGCTTCCCTCTCTTACATAACCGAACCGAACTAATCCAATAATTCCTATTCACAACCATGCACGAAAAGGCCTAGAAATGTTAGATACTTCGTATGAAAAAGGAATATTGACAAAAACAATATTATAAACATTTCATTAGATAAAAATAGGTATTTTTTCACGAATATTACTGAATTAAATTCAAAAGACAAAAATAAGATTTATTTTAAAATTTTCCAAAAAAGTGACATATTCAATTTGGACAAAAAAGAGACTGATAATAAATGAATGGACATGAACACCCTTACTGATAATTTCGGTACGACGGTACTTCATCTCTCTCACCTCATCGTGCTTTATATATATAAAGTGCAGTGTTTTTTAAATAATTTATTAAACTGACTTTTCGATCAAATTTCAAGTTAAAATCGTGTGAAGTAATCTACACTTCATGAAGCTTCATGAAAAACATGCTTGCAAAATTTCTATCAAAAACTTTCACACACCTAAACATCACCTATAAAAAGAAAACAAACATTGTCTTGGGCTAATCAAGAACTTCTTAGAAAGAAAAGGCTTTGGTTTTGAAACTCTTATGTATACAGTATACTAGAGAAGATGGGTTCTCTCACGCCAGGTTGGGATTCACTGGTTTCTGATCCTAAAGCAGGTAATTAAGCACTGGTTTTTTACTCCATTTTAAGTAATTTAATAAGAGAATTGAAGTAGTAGAGCGCTTTTTAACTCCCGTTTTGTTTTGCTCCTTAAATATTCAGTGATGTACAAGAGAAACAAGTCATTAACAAAGGAGGAAATAAATTCTTATTGGAGATCAAAGAAAGAGCAGAAGGAGAAGGAATTGGAGAAGGAAGAGGATCACTACCACCCAAGCTCAAGCTCATCAGGGCAACTACTCAATGATTTCCAGGAGGGTATTGTTGTTGACCCAGCAGATAGTCAAATCAGTCTGGATAAATTGATCCAGACACATGGCTGGTAATTATTTACTTATTGCTTAAACTACACTACACACACACATTTTTAGATTTTCTTTAATAGCTAATTACATTAATTAATTGTTAATGTAATTAGCAATTAATTGTTAAGACTCGAGTTTCCATCCTCAACCTCATACGAGAAGTATCCCATAATCTTATCAGACATCTCATTTGAATCGTGACATCATTCATTTTTCATTAGTTCGTCATTGTCATTTTTTATATAGCATCGTTATTTTTCATAGGGTCACAACCTATTGTTATGGATTGGTTCGTCTCTGTCAGTATGTTAAGATACGGAATTCAATCCTAAAAAATAAAAATAAACCTAATAGAAAGAGTAGCTCATCATATTACTATACCGCTTTATGACTTCATAGTTTATCAATATAGACTTCACTATTAATGGAGGGAATGGATGATTGGGTGTAGGTGGATAAAGAGCAATTGGGCACATCTAAACGAGGCACCACCACCTGAGGAGGAGGCGGTTCACCGGTATGTTTCTCAGTTTCATGTGCCGAACAAGGCTTCTGCTGCTACCTCCGACGGCAGCTCATCAAATCATCATCTTCATGCCTGAATCAGCTCGTGAATGGTGCCGGCTTGTACGTCATGCCCTGGCCACCACGTATTGGATGCTTGTTTTTTTGCAGTCACACTTCTTAATATTTATGTAATGCTGCTATTTGTAATAAGGGTTACTTTTGAAATCTAGAGTTTTTCTAATCAGATAATATGTCTGCATATATAAACTATGAATAAGTTAAGTTAGTGTATGCCAAAATAAAGAAAACAACGTTGGAGAGAATAGTCTATGATTTTTTTTCATTTTCATTCACCCGGTGCCGCAAAGGCTCCCACCTACGGTGGGGTAGGGGGTCAGATGTACGCAGTCTTACCCATGTACTAAAGCACAGAGAGATTGTTTCCGGATGACCCATAGTGAAAATCGTGTCCAAGATTGCATGAACTGACCGCTGCTCCATAACAAAGAAGTGCAAACAATTTAGTGAGCCATTTTGCTTTATTCCATCATAATCTCAAGCCAAAAAATAATGAATCTTTACATAACAGCTTATATATGCGCCTGTATATTACAAAACGTTGGAGAGAATAGGACACTAGAAACGTTCAGATTATCTTAGAGGCCGTTTGGCAACCCTCATATTCGGCTTATCAGGCTTATCAGCCAACTTATTTACTAAACAAGTAAATTTTGCTTTCGCGTGCTGAATTTTGTAATAAGCCGAAAAAGTAAGGTTGGAGTTAATTTTCTGGCTGTATTGGCTGAAGTTAATGTAGATGACCATTTTAGCTATTTTTACATATAATTTTTTCTTTATTTTATTAATGAAATATATTTTAAAAATATTTTTTTCTTGTATCACCAGAATCAGCCAATGCAGCCACCCACTTCAGCCAGAAATTCATAAATTTCAGCAGAATCAACCAAAACAGCCAATTTTCATGCTGCCAAACGGGCTCTTAGTCTTCCAACATTTCAAAACTAAAACCTTCAACTAGCAAAGCAAAATAATTATTGAATAAATCCTTAAAAATCTATATACATTCATGCCCGCAAGACTTTTAAGACGTTAGATTCACTCTTAGGATATTTTTACTTTACTATTTTCAGTCCCAGTCCAGACGAAATCATAGCGACCACACATCTACCAAACCACAACAGACCAAAAAATCTCAGTCCAATTAAAAACATCCTTAATTTCATTCACCACTTGCAAATTAGTTGGAGTATTTAAAACAAAAACTGCACAACAGCAATTGTTAAATAAACGAGTTATTAGGATACAGATGGACTACATATACTCCGCGCCCAGAGGGGTTCTTGCCGGGGGGGGGGGGGGGGGGGGGCATGAAAGAACATTAGCCTATTCCAAATGCTACTAATCTTTCTGTACAGCCCTGATTTTATGTCAAAGCAAACTATAGTTTTTCTTCAGCAGACTCAAGAAACACAAATACACAAAAATGCTTCAGAAACAAAAAGATGTGATTCTCCAAACCTCACCCACAGCATGCTATCGCGAACCCACACAACTTTAACCCCTTGATGAGCCCCCACTACTTGCAGCCGATCTCTTCCGACTGTATTTCTGTCAAAATTTAACACTGCTTTATCAAACATTCTGTTTAACTAAGAAAAAATACAGAAACAAAAAGAAAACAGTAACAATAAAAATGAAGAGCTAACTGCTCATGAGTCATGACAATAGAAGTCTATCTCACCAGTTTTCCATGGTCAAAAGGCACATACTTGTACTTAATCATGTGTGTTATCTGACGCTTCATGGTAAGAACAAAAAGCACAATCCAATAACAAAGCAGTATTGGCCAGAAAACCGGGACATCAAAAAGCGAACAGAAGGTCATAAAAAAAGCTACAACAAAAGCCTTTGTGGCTGCATACCTGCATAAAGGAAAATCAATTGACCCTTTGAAGAATGAATAAAGTTTATTTAGGTCATAGGATGAAGAACAGGTAGTTTAGTTTAAACATCTCAGTCCATTAGATTACTGTGTGTGGATCATATCATATCCATACATCCGGTATTTCATTAGCAGTAATAACAAGTTTACATCACACTCTAGGTATGGCTACAAGAAACAAGGCAACAATACATTTTTATACCAGCTCAGTGTAAGCCACCCCTGCTGTATACAAGACTGCCCCTGATATTCAAATTGCAATGACCAAACATTTACGGCCCATTTGGAGCTTGGAAAATACTAGGATAAAAAGGAATAGGAAGGTTTGATGGAAAATAAAAGATTTGGTCAAACAATAAAAGAGTGTTTAAATAGAGATGTTCTTTTCAAATTCAAATTATTTATTTATTAATGAATATAAAGTCTAAGAAATCTAAATGCATGTTAAAATACTAAAATAAATAATCTTTCATTTTCCTTTGTATTTTCAAATATAAAAACCAAACATAAGCAAATAACTTTCCGTAGCATCTGAATACATTATCTTAGCATTTACTGATCCATAAATACCGTTAAAAAGTGCACATGGGAAGTGTGGACATGGAAAAGAGAAGTATAGAACATTAAAAAATCTAGAAGAACTACTTATTGTGGAGGGTCTGCAATGTGAAAACTAATAATCACAGTTCCAATTTTGCACACCAGATCAACAATTGAAATTAAAAAGAGATTCAGGTAGGAAAAAATCATACCTCCTATAGGAAAGAATAGTAGTTCAGAAGGAGAAAACAAATAATATGGAGGCAAAGAAAGACACTACTGTTTTATTTCTGAACATATCCTTCCTCAAACATAAATGATTGCAAGGCTCAATTAATTACTCAACAAGAAAGTCGTAAAAACACATCAAAAGATGGGGAAAACCTAATCGAACATAGAAGAACTACTCTCAGCACAGAAAATAAGCAACAAGAGAAGAAATTTAGAAGCTTTGGCAGTTCATTACAGCTAAAAAACAACAGCTAACTCACCACAACAGGAATTCAGGGAGACGGCGAACAAATGGTATATATTCATCAGAATCTCTAGCATGCCCATCAAGAGCTTCAAGTTCAGGATCATATTTGGGGGATAGGAATCCAATCAGTAGATTCAAAAGATAGGTTCCAACACCATAGGATATGATATGGAAACCACGGACATAGTAAACCCGTAATACATATACTGAGGCAGCCGCTACTGTACCAAGCCATCTCCTATACGTATAAGGAACAGACCTATCCAGGTAGTGCCTGAACATTCTAGAGAATTCTCTTCTCCACTTCACCAGTGGGGCCAGTGTGCTGCCATCATCATCGTCTCCCTTAACTCCTTCCATAATACTATCAGCCTAGCAACTCTTCTCTACAACACACTTCACTAATGTAGATCTGACAACACAAAAACAGGTACTCTTGCATTTCATCTACCGATTGAAGTATTCAACAACCAATAATTAAATTCAAAATACTAATACTTATAATAATTGCAATATTCAATTCAAAATCCTAAATAGAACATAAGAACCGAGCGGGGAAAGTTATATTTAGTTTCTGCATTCAGAACCCTAAATTCGACTTCAATTGTGCTTCAATGGGTACTAAATACCAATCACCGAGAATTGGGCAGGAAAATCACACCCAACAAGCATTTTAACAGCAAACAAATGCTCCACAGAGCTTCTCACGAGTATACTAAAGATTGGTTCGATTGAAATTCAGTGAATCAATATGAATAACGATAAAATAAACCTTACTTACATAAATTTAACGAGACAGCGGAGAAACAGACCTTCGATTTGAGCCAAACGTTGACGGTTGATGCCGCAGATTCGTATAGGCATATGGAACGGAGGTCCTTTTTTAATCTAAGATTCGGTTAACTTTCCCACACCGGCTAAATAGAGAAGAGGGAGGGGAATGATTTGTTATAAAAACGAAAGGCAGCATTGTGGGAATCTCATCTTTGCGCTTGGGGCAATGACGCAGCTAGTGAGGTAATAACCGAGGCGCGTCTATTGCTGGTTGAAAACTATTTCCAAACCCCCTCTTTGGCTTAGGTTCATCCTAAGCTTTGGAGAATTTTTGGAAGGGTTTCTTTCACTAGGAACCCTACAAATTTAGTTCTGAAACTTTGGTATCGTTTAACAATTACTAGTAGTTGAGAATTCCAATGGTTTTTCAAAACCTGATTATTGCAGAGCTTTTACTTTTTTGATTTGACGTAATTTTGCCAGGAAAAGCATGTAGTCCAAATGTCCAATTGGAACATTTACAATGACAATCATGGTTATAGTTTTAGGGGAGGGAGTTGTCAAATTTCTTCATTTTTTGTCTCACCTCATTCTGTGACAAATGAAATCGAGATGGAGACCTCTCTTAAAATGGGAGTAAACAATGCACTAGTTCCACAAAACTTGGTGATTTTTCATTTTTTGGTGGTTTCAATTTTTTTTTGCCTTTTCGGAGAGGGTCATGAGCTTAAATTTTTGTCAAAATGATGTTCGTGGTTTACCTCCGTTATCGCCAGAGGGGTCTCAGCCTACTCCCGTTATAATTTAATGACGTGGCACGTTATTCGGCATAAATGGCAGCCGTGTGGGGTTCAATTCATCCAGCTCAGTAAACATTTTGAATTAAAGCCAAAAAACACTTAAGTATGTCTTAGAACGCAAAACGACGTTTTAGGAGGTTTTAGGACGCCAAAAGAACATGCATCTCTGCAGCCCAGTCCCAGCAAGCCTGTTAGGGTTTCACAGTAGCGGCCCAAAGCAGAAGCCCAGCATTCTTTTCTTCAGCGCCGCGCATCCAATTCAAATTTTGAAATTCGAATTGCTACAGTGACAGGACACGGACAACTGAAGCACACAGTCCAATCGCAGCTAGCCATGTCAGTTCGCCGTTGACTATCCTAGTACCTCCTGCCGGCGAAGCTCCGGCCAGTCACTCGCAGCCCACGAAATTGATCCCAAATTCAACCACGCCCGCACGCAGTTACACACCGGCACAAAGTCTCCGGTACCCGTCATCCACTCCCCCCCCCACCCCCTACCGGTACCGGCATCCACCGGCGGGAACGGTGGAAGAGAACACAACACCAGCCGGTTTCGAAGCGCCAGGCGGTTTCAATTCCCGGCATGCCGGTCATCTTCTCCAGCGAAAAGCTGAACGCTATCCAAATTCACAAAAACACCACCCAACCTAAGTCCAGAAGAAAATGAAACGGCCATCTCTGTTCGCTCATCCCCAACCGAACGTCTTCTCCGGCATCCAAACAATACCATTCCGGCACCTTCCCGGAAAACACTCAAACAAAACCAGAAAGCCCTACCCTCATGTCCAAACTATCCTCCATGAATCCCTGGGTCTCATGAGCAGCTTGAGAGGAGGGACGCAGACCGATACCTATGGAACCCAAACACAACCAGTCCAAACCCAATGCTCTGCCAAGAATGACAAGCTGCGAGCATCGGGAGTTTTCACCCATGGACGAGTACCCACAACCACCAATAAATTAAAAATAATAATTATAATAGCAATAATTCATTCAAGACCCTAATAAGAGTCCAAGAACAGAGCGGGGAAAGTATTACGGAGTAATTTATTCTTGCATTCAAAACCCAAAATTTGATATCAACTGGAAATTCATGAATAATGCTAACATACGGTCATAAACCATACATGACTTTACGGAGACTGGAGAACAGGCCTTGAATTTGAGCCAAAAGTGGATGCTCGGACAGATTCATTCATAAAAGTATGTGGATGGAGTTTTTTTAACAAACGTTGAATGCCTGAGTCAAGTCACGTTATGACTTCTGAGTGGATTTCCCACACCGGCTAAAAAGAGAAGACGGTAGGGAATGAGTAATTATAAAAACGAAAGGCAGCAATGTGGCAATCTCATCTTTGCGCTTGGGGCAATGACGCAGCTAGTGAGGTAATAACCGAGGCGCGTCTATTGCTGGTTGAAAACTATTTCCAAACCCCCTCTTTGGTTTAGGTTCATCCTAAGCTTTAGAGAATTTTTGGAAGGGTTTCTTTCACCAGAAACCCTACAAATTTAGTTCTGAAACATTGGTAACGTTTGACAATTAGTTGAAAATTCCTATGGCTTTTCAAAATCTGATTATTGCGGAGCTTTTACTAGTTTCACAAAACTTTTCCATTTTTTGGTGGTTTCTATTTCTTAAAATAACAAATACGGAGTACTATCGGCCGTATTAATTATATGTACTTTACTTTAATTACATTTTATTTTTTAAAAAACAAAACATTGTTAAATTCATCTCATTACAAAGTTTTATAATCTGTTTTTTATTTTATTTTTATTAATACAGAATTAAATATAATGACGGTCAAAGTTGTGCGTTGGCAACATGAAATATTGATTGTTGCAACTAAAAAGAGACGTGGGAAATATGTGATTAACATTATTTCTCTCTCATCTGCACAAATATCAACCGCACATTTTTTATTTTATTAATCTCATGCAAATCAACATTGACCAAATTTTATGGGACAGAAAGAGTAGTATTATAAGCAATGTTCTAAAAGGCGTTAGGCGCTCGTCGGACGCTAGCCCAGCGCCTAGCGCCAAGGCGGCTAGGCGGACGCCTAGTTGGGGACATAAAAATTGCATTTTTATGTGTATAAAATACATATATACACACACATTAATAGTTTTTCACATTTAATCATACGTAGTATATAATAACTAATCCTTAACTTTATTATGTTTTAAATATAAATAATAATAATAAAATTTACGTATAATACAATATATAATTTTTATCTTAATTTAAAACTTCATTTATTTATATCTGTGGCTAAATTTAAAGTACATATATCGCTTAGAAAATTAAAATTAAAAAAACAAAGTAATGTTTGGTGAATCTAGACGGTCCAGGCGGCCAATTAGGCGCTCTAGGCGGGCAACTAGACGCCATAGGCAACAACCTAATTCACCTAAACGACAAACCAATTAGTCGGAGCGTCTAGACAAAAATCGAGGCGCCTGATCACCGCCTAGCGCCTAGGCGGGGACTAGTCGGACGCCTAGAACAATTTTTAGAACAAAGATTATAAGTAGATTTTATCAATTCAAGACCTAAAAGATAGATTAATTATCGAAAATTATCCTAAACAGGGCTAGTGATTCTCTAAAAAGCACACAAATATGACTACTAATTTTTAAATTTCCCAAATAGAACTAAACATTGATTTTCTTCCCTAAATACCCCTAAGGGTATAATCCATGATAAAATAAACCTTACTTGCATAAATTTAATGACACATTGGAGAAACAGACCTCCGATTTGAGCCAAACGTTGACGGTGATGCCGCAAATTCGTATAGGCATATGGAATGGAGGTCTTTTTTTAATCTAATATTCGGCTAACTTCCCCACACCAGCTAAATAGACAAGAGGGAGGGGAATGATTTATTATAAAAACGAAAGGCAACATTGTGGAAATCTCATCTTTGCGCACTATGATTGTTGACGCAGACACATCGTACCGTACCATCAGATTATCCACCGGACTAGGAATCTTTGACATCTCATCTGCTTCAACACTTGTCTACCACGAACCTTCTTCCATCACCGAGCAAAGCACAAATCCGCGATCAATCTTAACACTAGCGAAACAAAAAGTTCGGTCTCGTAGCCGTCCTATCTACCGGAAAGCAGCCGCACTCAATGGCGGAAAAAGCTAAACCCTAAGAAGGGAGATGTCCACGGAACTTGACAATTTTCCCTTTCAAATATTTTTTTATTCTGAATTTGCTTATTAAGCCGTTTATCAGTTTCGGTTAGGAATGAGTTGGAAGAATTATTAACAAACAAAAATCATACTAACTCCGTCCCGAAATAATCGTCCTGGTTTGACCTTCCCACAGATTAAGAAAGTGAATTGACTTCACGCTGTAGCGACACTGTTTGGCACTGTAGCGACAATGTTTGACACTGTTTTGCACTGTTTGACACTGTTTTGTATAGATTTGTTTACCAAATAAGGAAAGGAGACAATCATTTCGGGACGAATCGAAAAGGAAAGGACAATTATTTCAGGACAAAGGGAGTACTATTTTTTGGTTTGGATTTGTTATTTTACACTTCGTAATAATTATTGAAGATTTCATTGAATTTCTTTAGTTCGGCTAAGTTTTTATGTTTAATACGATTTGGAAAAAATGCTACCAAACTCAAACTGATATGCCCACTCCTAATTTGTACCATGAAAATAAGGGAAATTGGTATTTACCTTTTGATAGTTTAACTTTTGCATTTAGAAAGTCGATTAATTGTTCCTCATATATATTTTAAAATAACAACTATCAAATATTTAAAACATGCCAACATCATGATCGTAATCCCCTAATCCAAATCGTAAAAAACCGCATTAAGAACATTAAGTTCAATTCAAGGGCGCTAGGAAAGTATAGCTAGCCTGCAAAGCTCCCAAATTGCAGTGAAAATCATCGCAAACACTGATTCGATTTTATTTTATTTAATAAATGTGTAAAATGCAATCATAAAACCCACATAAATATGTTTCTCCAGTTTTATCCGTAATTTCATTACCCTTGAAATGGACAAATTGTTTGGGAGATTTTGAAACAAAAATGAAGAATTAATTAAGCTTTTGGAACTAGAAAAGAAGATATTTAGAACATTATAGAACAATATAGGTAACAAATTAACTTGATAGGAACATAGGCAAATAATATAGCAACCACTCATATGTTGGAGCGTTTTTTTACACTAATAACTTTAATGTAATTAAAGATTCAAAAGTACTAATTATTTTGTGTTTCTCAATTCGCCTACCTGTTATTCTATTTTACCCCACTATAAAAGCTCATCTCTTTCATAATTTTCACTACTCAATTCAATTATTCCATGGCTAATTATCTTTCCTTGTATATTTTCAAATAAGCTATTATAGTTCAAATATTTACGGTTAACACAATGTATATGTTCTAGGGGTGGACTGGGTCCGGGCGGCCCGACCACGGACCGACCCGGGTCCTGTACTGTTTGGTATCGAACCAGGCCCGGTTTTCTGGTACTGGTATCGGCCCGGTACCCGAACTGTGGTTGAATAGGGATGTGCTTCAGTCTTGAATTTTGGGGCCCGGTCCAGGCCAAACGGCTCGATTTAAGAAAATAGAATAATGGGCGGGTACCAGCCTGGGCCCGACCCAGAACCGGTATCGAACCAAACCGGGTCAGTACTGGGCTTTAATTATTTAGAACCGTGACTGGCCGGTCCCGGGCCTGACGCGGCTCGGTTCCACCCCTAATATGTCCTACATTGTAAAGAAGTGTCGTTTTAACATAGTTTGTTTCTTTATTTCAGTTAAACATAGTTTGTTTCTTTGTGTTTGGAACTTCTTTAACTACAGTTTTCAAAGTTTTCAAAGTTAAACATAGTTTATTTTTGAAAGTATGTATATCATTTTTGAAATTGAATACATATACACACAGGCAAAATGTGTTGAACAATGCTGTTTTGAAAGTATGTATATCATCAGCAGACTGAAAAACATAATAGACGCGGAGATCTAAACCTCAGCCAGACAGCCACAGCATGCTATGGTGAAGCCTCGCAACTTCAATCCCATGATGAGCTCCCACTACTTGCAAAAGATCTCTTTGACTGTATCTCTCTCAAAGTTCAACATTGCCTTATTTAACATCAAGTTCCTTTAAAAAAACATCAAGTTTAACTGAGAAGAAATACAAAACAAAAAAAGAACAGTTGTTCATGGGAGGTCTATCTCACCCATTTTGCATAGTCGAAAGGCACAAACTTGTACTTGGTCATGTGCAGAATCTGACGCTTCATGGTGAGAACAAAGAGCACAATCCTATATTCATCAAAAAACTTAATGCTCAAATAATGCAAACAAATAAAATAGGTAGAGAACTGAGAAAGACGCTCATGTGTTGTTATTCCTTAATGGACTAAATATCCTTCTCCAAAGATAAGTAGTTGTGAGGCTCAAATAAGTGAACTTGAAAGTGGTTCAAGGACATCAAAAGACCAAAAAAACTAATCTAACTTATACAAAACTAATTCCAGCAAACCAATTAAGTAATAAGACAAGAGATTTATAAGCTTTCTCAGAATATTAGGGCACCAAAAGAAACAATTAACTACCACAACAGCATTTCAGTGAGGCGGTGAGCAAGCAGTGTGCAATCACCAGAATCTCGAGTCCATCAAGAACTTCAAGTTCAGGATTATATTTCGGGGATAGGTTTCCATTCAGTAGATTAAAGAGAGAGACTCCAACACCGTAGGATATGATTTGGAAACCACAAATATAATAAACCTGTAATACATATATTGATGCAATGATGCAGCCCCTACTGCTCCAAGCCATCTCCTAGACGTATAAGGAACATCTCTATCCAAGTAGTGACTGAACATTTTAGAAACCTAGCTTCTCCATTTCACCAATGGGGCCACTGTGCTAAATACCATCATCATCCTCATCATCTACCCCAACTTTCCATAATACTCCCTCTGGTTCCAAAAGATCTTGACACTTTGACTTCACAGTTTTTAAGGAAATAAACACTTTTGTCACTGTTTGATACTGTTTGTCACTATTTGACACTGTTTTGTGTAGATTTATTTGCCAAATAAAGCAAATAAGGAAGTGTAAAGTTCTTTATGGTACTGGTAAAAATGAAAAGTGTAAAGATCTTTCAGAACCGGAAGGAGTACTATAAACCTAGCAACTCTTCTCTGCAACACACTTCGGGAGACCTGACCATTAAAAACAGGTATTCTAACAATTCCGGCCACAAATTGAAAGTACCCACAACCACCAATAAATTAAAAATAATAATTATAATAACAATAATTCATTCAAGACCCTAATAAGAGTCCAAGAACAGAGCGGGGAAAGTAGTACGGAGTAATTTATTCCTGCATTCAAAACCCAAAATTTGATATCAACTGGAAATTCATGAATAATGCTAACATACGGTCATAAACCATACATGACTTTACGGAGACTGGATAACATGCCTTGAATTTGAGCCAAAAGTTGATGCTCGGACAGATTCATTCATAAAAGTATGTGGATTGAGTTTTTTTAACAAACGTTGAATGCCTGAGTCAAGTCACGTTATGACTTCTGAGTGAATTTCCCACACCGGCTAAAAAGAGAAGACGGTAGGGAATGAGTGATTATAAAAACGAAAGGCAGCAATGTGGCAATCTCATCTTTGCGCTTGGGGCAATGACACAGCTAGTGAGGTAATAACCGAGGCGCGTCTATTGCTGGTTGAAAACTATTTCCAAACCCCCTCTTTGGTTTAGGTTCATCTTAAGCCTTAGAGAATTTTTGGAAGGGTTTCTTTCATTAGAAACCCTACAAAATTAGTTCTAAAACTTTGATATATACTTGCCTCTATATTAATATCCTAAGTTTTGTGATAATTACATCAATCAAAGCAAAAATAAATCTAACAAAATATTCAATAACTATGATTTTAAATCCTATGATTAGATTTAGAGGTGGTCACGTCTGTTCCTTTAGTTTTTACCAAGTTGTCCAAGAGTAATATGAATCGCTAACTATGCAGCGGGTTTGACGTAGTCATCTATGTTCTCATAAATCCAAACATACAATGACATAAAAGGAGGTTAAATTCCCAAACAAATCGGCAAACCTAACAACATAAACGGTAAACACAAACCAAATGATAAAATAATAAAAACTAATAGGAGGACGAAACAAGAAAAAAACTAAATAAGCAGAACAATTGCCTTGAACCCTAGCACCTCGTTCATCCTGAGGAAATTACCAATTTACGGGAATTTTGTGACTGACAAGCCAAAATATGGGAATTCAGATTAGGTTACCATTTTGCGGGAGTCGAATTCTCCAATTCCGACAAGAAGGATTACATTAAAAAAAATCCCTAGTCGGAATTGTGTAATCCGACTAGGGGTATTCCTAAAATTTTTATTGTTTCCATTATTTACGTAATCCGAAGTAGCAAAGTAAAAATAAAAAAGACCTAGTCAGATTACACAATTCCGACTAGGGGGTGTTTGAAAATATTTTATTGTTTGATTGATTTGTGTTCATTCATATTTTAATTTTAAAAAAAAGTTGCCAATTCCTAGTCGGATTACATTCAACATTTTCAACAAAAGGAAAAAAGGTTGAGCATTAATAAAAAGTTGAGCTTTAATAAATAAGGAAAAAAGTTGTCAGGTTTTTAATTTTTAAAAAAAATTGAGCCAGTCGGATTTGCCAATTCCGACCGGAGGTGTTCAACATTTTTTTAATAAATAAGGAAAAACATTCATACAAAAAAAGTTCTCCGATTTTTAATTTTTTTAAAAAAATTGATGATTAAAAAAAGAATTTTAAAAAAATTTGAGCCAGTCGGATTTGTCAATTCCGACTGGAGGTGTTCAACATTTTTTTTGTAATTTCAGTCGAAATTAGAAATTTATAATTAGTTATTTTAGTAGAGTAATTTTTAACTCATTCAATTAGATAAGCACACATTTTATAATATGATTGTTTAAACAAAATTTGACCCATTAAGTCATATGAATTCAAAAATAAACTAAGTTCATAACATATTCATGTACATTTTATAACATTCAAATAATATGTTGTTTATTTTTTGTAGTAGATAAACTTGAGGTCTACCATATATAGCTTCAGCTTGTTCTACTGTGGGGCCAGAAGGAACATTTTGTGTAAGTTCAAGAAGACTGCATTCCTTAAAAGAATGTCCTCCTCCACAGAGTTCACAGAACAAAACTTGAGCTAAAGATGATGATGGATTTGTTGATGTGCTAGAAATTGATGATGATTGTTTCTCCGTGAGCTTTTGAACCATGGTTGTGAGAGAATCAACCTTTACCGTTAAAGCTGTTGTTTGGTCGACCTCATAAATTCCCGCTCCTAGTTTTTGAGTGGATCTTTCAGAATACCATGATGCACTGTTGTTACAAATTTTCTCAAGCATCTCTTTGCCTGTTTCAGGATCTAGCTCCATGAAAGCTCCATTAGCAAAGGCATCCACAACAATTTTGGAAGTATCATGTAATCCTTCATAAAATGAGATAATGAGATCACCCACGCTCATATTATGATGTGGATATTGAACTTGAAGGTCTTTAAATCTCTTCCATGATTCGTAAAGAGATTGTGATGGATGTTGCCTGAATTGCTGGATAAGTTTCTTCATTTTTGATGCCTTGGAAGGAGGATAGAACTCCTTCATGAATTCTCGATGCAACTTCTCCCATGTGTTGAAATAACCGGATGGTTTAGAGTTCAACCAACTCAATGCTTCATCCCTCAGTGAGAATGGGAACAATCTGAGTCTGATAGCATCAACAGAGGCTCCATTAAGTTTAAGAGTTTGGAGAACTCTCAAGAATTGTTTCACATGGCTCGTCGGATCTTCACTCTTTGATCCGCCAAATTTGTTGGCTGAGACCAATGAGATAAGTGCTGGTTTGATCTCAAAATTTGCTGCATCCACTCCTGGATAGAGAATACTGTCTTGTTCCTCAATTTCACCTGCAACATAATCAAGAAGTCTTCTCCCTTGCTGTTGTCTCATGAATTGCCCTTGATCTTGTTGATTATGTGGGTGTTGGTAGTATTGGCCATATGGGTGAGGTTGGTATGGGTGCATAAATGGAGGAGGTGGGTAAGGATATGGGTAAGTGTATGGATATGGAGGAGGAGGTTGGTTTTGGTGATTTTGGTAGGGATGTGGTGGATAAATTTGGGGTTGTGTTTGGGGAGGAATTTGTTGGAAATTTTCAAATCCTGGTGGTCTTTGATCTCCAAAGAAATGATTATGTCTATCTCTGGGAGTATCAATGGGTGTATTTTGAGGTGGCGTAGGATTTGGATTTGGAATTAGGTTTTGGCCATTTGGATTATTGGGATTGTTTTGAAAATCCTCCATGATCAGATCTGGAATTTTAAGTTCAAGGGTTCGTGCTTTTCTTCTTTTCCTTAATTCTTTTTCAAAATCAAGGTTAAGTGGTTGCAATCCTTCACTCCCTTGAGAGCGAGTATGCATACACTTTTTTAAGAGTTTTTTTTTTGTGCACGAGAAATGATTTTCTTTTTGTTTTTTTTTACGAAAGTGATGAGAACAGGTAAAAAAAACTTAGTCTCCAGATAAATAATAACAAACACTAATATTAACTAATAATCAATCAATAACACTATGCCATTCCCCGGCAACGACGCCAAAATCGTGACATGCCAAAATGTGTAGTGTGAAATGGTGTAAAAATGTGAATGGAAATGATGTTTTAATTGGCTTGTAACGATATAGTATAGAGTAAGTGAGTATCGTTCCGCTAGAGAATGGCTCAAAAAGAGAACTAGAATTAACGATTGATTTTTAGCTAATCACAAATTAATAACATTTTGCATTGGAGCTAAGTGAACAGATTTTTTTTTATCTCGTTTTTGTCAATGCGGAATTGCTAGAGTAAAATAAATCACAATACCTGGTAATTTAACAATTAATGATAGAGAAAATTAGGCTTGGACTAAGAGTAATTTTATTTTGATGTTCATAATAATAAAGATTTAACTAATTAACTTAGTTACTTTTAGATGTGTGAAAGATTTACAAATGGTAATCTTCTAATCGTTCCCACGACTTAGTTGATTACACTATCTTAAATTAATTCCGCTCCCGCAGTAATTTTATTAAGACAGTAAAAAGTACAAAGTCAAATTATCCTAAATTCCTTAACACTTCCGTGTAGCAATTTAGTGGGTGAATTAATAAAAAGTATTTTAATGAAATTTCACTCCCGTGATAATATTCATTTCCCAATATAATGTATTTAGCAGATTAGAATATTCAACCCAGCACTCCTAAAATTAACCAATTAATAGTTTTAACCAATTATTATCATATGAACATTAATAGTAAAAATTACATCTTGCCCAAGCCTAAACTTAATTTAGTTACACATAATTACGGTAAATAAAATAAAAACAAAATTCATGAAAGACATAATAAATTTAACAGATTAAGGAAATTAAAGTGAGTGTTTAAGTAAGAACCTGAAGGCATAAAATAATGAAGAACATAGATGGGCTGGAATAGAAAAGTTGAAATCCTTGTATTAAGCTGGAACTGATTGAACGAACTGATAAACCCAAATGAACTTCAATACCAAATATCACAAGCTAAAATTCTGGAACTGAGAATTATAAACTGAAATCTATACAGAAAGTGTTCTTGGCAGAATCACTTTTATTATATGGCTACTAATACTTCGTATAAACTAAAAAAAAGAGAAGAATGATTTCTATCAGAACTTGGTGTTCCTTGAAGCTCCTGGATGACTCCTTTATATAGTAGCACAAGAAGGGTATGGATCAGAATATATCTCCGAATGAAGATAAAAATCATTGAATTTGGGCGGCCACTGATTTGAATCTTGGTGTGAAAGCTTATTTCTCATTTTCTTTCTGCAAATAGCACCGACCGTTGTCCAGTTGTGTATTTTTCTTCGTTGGAGTCTGTTCTCTTCTGTTCGGCCGAGTGAAAGATGATGAACACAACTTGGATTGTAATTGCTTAGCTTGAAATTCGTAGGTCCCTCCAATAATGCAATACAATAATCACTCCTTTGCATTTCTTCTTTTGGACTTCTATGGAACGTTATTCACATATCTCGATGAGTGAATAGTGTTGTCAGCCAAAGGTTTGGCTCTTATCCGGTTAACTCCTTAGCTGTTTGATCGGTTAACTGGTCAACGGTTAAATGGTCAATAGTTAACCGGTACATTTTATTGCGGACAGTTTGACTTATTTTGAAATGTATTTCGGGTCTCTTTATAAATATTTTGGAATTAAAGTAAGGACCCACTTCATTTTGATGATTTTTCCGTATCCACTCGGGAGTAATTCTATTTCTTTTCAGAATTTCAATTTACATCCCGAATTATCCTGAAACTCAAAAATATACCCAAATAAGTGCAATATCTTAAAATGTCCAAGATGATAAAAATCAATCCTTTTTATTTTAAAAAATGAGAAATAAAATATTAAAAGTGTGACAAAACAAGATCATAAATATGGTAAATTAGGAGTACATCATACATCCGGACGTACGCTACAGATATTATGCCGATTAATAATTACTTCAATGTGATGGCAGAAATACCCGATACCATTTTGCCGCCCACAAACAGTAGATCGGCTAGAACTGGTAGGCCACAGAGAACTCGATTTACTAATGAAATGGATCTGCGTGCTACAAGGAGAGGACCTGAGTAATATTGTAATGTATACTTTGTTGGATATTTTGTATTGCAACGAATTACTTATGTAATATTGGTTCTCTTTTCCATTGTGTCTGAAGATTTTGTTCACATAATTATATTAAAATAAAATATAATAAAATAAAACTAAATCATATAAAATTTAATCCGATAAATATAATCAGATAAAATTTAATCAATTAAATATAATCAAATAAAATTGATCTGATAAAATATAAACAGATAAAATTTAATCAGATAAACTATAATCAAATAAAATTACCACGTGACCACTGAATTACCATCGTGCGAATCGTGCATGGTATGAACTAGATGCCATAGACTTGTGCTTGAAGCCCGTCAGTTGCCCTTCGTCAGTTGCCCTTTGTGCGAGATGAAAGAGTGATACAAAAGTTACACGATGCTCGGTTCTTGGGCTCTTGGAACACTAGCGGCGGGGACGGAGCAGGGCCGAGCACGCAACGTTAGATGTAGTATCGTTAAATTTATTATTGTATGTACTATCTATTTATTAATAAATTACATTGAAAACTACATTTATTTTGTTCACTTCCATTAAAATTACCAAAATCGCATTTAAAACAAAATTAAATTGTATCTCATTTTATGAATTTTATTCACAATACAAATGGATTAAAAAATAGTACAAAGCAATCGATGTTTTGTTACTCAAAAAATCAAAATGCATAATTTGCCTTTTAAAAATATGACAGGAATTAAAAAAACTTTTAAATTTGGAATTAAGGGATTTTTTTATTTGTAAAATGAGTCCGTTGGAATTAAAGGAATTCAGAACATTGAAAATCAAAATACTTTGAAAATCAATTCGGCCACTAACTACCAAAAAAAGAAACCCCCTAGTCGGAAGTGCCATATCCGACAAGAGGGTTTAGTGGAATTTTCGAAACACTGAACCTAGTCGGAACTGGGTGTTCCGACTCCCGCTTTTTGGGAAACCCCTGATTTTTTCCCGTAATTTGGCACTCGTTGTTATCCTTTCCCGTATTTTGGTAAAAGATGATATGGTTCTTAAATCTAGGTCATGTACGTTGGGGCTTGGAATGATTTTGTTAGCTCCGAATAGGTCCGGTCAAATTTGGTTCATTATTATGTGAATTTTATTATATTATAAATACACATATATGTAGAGTAGAGATCTAGTCAGGCATGCCTTATCAGATCCACCGTTTGGTCAAGTCCGATTGAGTTTTAGACTGAAATTTTGTTTAAATATTCTACAATGATCTAGTCAATCATGAAATAATTTTGTTTCATGAAAAACATGCTAACAATAATCAAAAACTCAACTTGAAAGACCCTCAAACAGGCTTGGCCGAACGACGGTTCCATCAGTCGGACTGACCTGATCTATACTCTCTCTCTCTCTCTCTCTCTATGTGTGTGTGTGCGTGTGTATATATATATATTAATAATGTGTACTATATTACTCTTATAATTATTAAAAGAGAAAATTTATCACTCATCATCAATAATTTTGTTATGAATTTTGACTAATGATGTTTTCTTTGGACTGTTTTCAGTCCCTAACCAGACCAGATCAGATCAGAATAGGCTAGACTTAAACAGGTCAAACTTTTATAGTTATAAAATACACATGGACCAGACATTTACCAGAGCAGACCATACCAGTTCAGACCAGACCAGATCAGCCTTAAACGAACCGGATCGAATCAGATCAAACAAGCAAATTTCAGTTCAAAAGAAAACATCCTTTTTTTAATGAAAACAAAATGGATAGCCATTTACTATTACTCCGTATTATACATCACAGAAGTATTATGTCAATTATAACCATATTTCATGCGTATATCAATTTTCTTCTGTACGCAAATCCTATGTGCTAAATATAGGATTAGCCGGGTTTATATTTGAAGGTAGTGGACAAAAATACGACTTAATGACTATCATAGTAACTTTAGTGATCATGATTATGTTCAACTCTACCATTATAGTGACTATGTTTAGTAACTATAGTAATATTTTTGTCCATTAGGTATGTTTTGGAAACATCATATCTATGGAAAAACCTATTTCTATTTTATTAAAAATAAATAATGGCTAAGCTAGCCTTCTTTCTTCATTTATATAGAAATTTTTCTCATTCAAATGGTTAATAAAAGGCAACATTACTTAAAAGGGAATATAAGAGCATTTTCAATGCAAAAACATGAACGATGCATATGTGACATTAAAGATAGTCAATTAAATATATATATATATATATATATATATATATATATATATATATATATATATAATATCTCTCTCTCTTTACTTGAACGATTTTACATGTTTTGGTAAGTTTTTTCTTCACAATATTTAGATGTACACATTGTGGTTGACATTGTTGATATCAACTGGAAATTCATGAATAATGCTAACATACGGTCATAAACCATACATGACTTTACGGAGACGGGAGAACATGCCTTGAATTTGAGCCAAAAGTTGATGCTCGGACAGATTCATTCATAAAAGTATGTGGATTGAGTTTTTTTAACAAACGTTGAATGCCTGAGTCAAGTGACTCAAGTCACGTTATGACTTCTGAGTGACTTTCCCACACCGGCTAAAAAGAGAAGACGGTAGGGAATGAGTGATTATAAAAACGAAAGGCAGCAATTGGCGATCTCATCTTTGCGCTTGGGGCAATGACGCAGCTAGTGAGGTAATAACCGAGGCGCGTCTATTGCTGGTTGAAAACTATTTCCAAACCCCCTCTTTGGCTTAGGTTCATCTTAAGCCTTAGAGAATTTTTGGAAGGGTTTCTTGCATTAGAAACCCTACAAAATTAGTTCTAAAACTTTGATATCATTTAACAATGGGTACATATGATAATAAATATACCCATGTTTTATCTTTTGAAAACAAAAATACTAGTGAAGTATACTACATATGTTGTAATGCATATACACTTTTGAACGGAAACTTGCCTCTATATTAATATCCTAAGTTTTGTGATCATGACATCAATCAAAGCAAATCTAACACCAACTAAAATAACTATGATTGTAAATCCTATAATCAGACATAGAGACGGTTACGCTTGAAAGAGTAATACGCAGAACGAAACAAGAAAAAAACTAAATAAGCAGAACAATTGTCTTGAACCCTAGCACCTCGTTCATCCTCTCGCGGTGGTTCAGGAGGAGGTCGGATCATCGCTACGATTATTGACACAAACAAGGCACATCTCCGGCCCGTCGCTCGACCGATTTCCTGGCGTGCAACCGCCGTCTGCCCCGCAATTTCAGCTCCTTTGGACGCCTCCCTTTCTCCCTCCATTGGCTCCTGCAACTCCTTCTCCATCGGCCGCCACAACATGCCTAGCGATGTTCCTGCGAACAATTCCTTCTCTGCTAACATAATCGTCGCTCCAAAGGACGACTAAATCTAAACGCCGCATACAAGATGACAAAAACCGGAACCCTTATTCAAGGGACACGGCCGCAGGTAGAGGAGGGTTTCGTTTTCTATATACTCTTGAACTTTTAAAAAGTGTAAAAAAATTTACTTTTATTGACTTTAATTAGATAAAATAAATTTCAAACAACACCAGAAATATACTAAGAATTTAAAATTTAAAAATAAAGAGTTTCTATTATGTTAGAATATTAAATCTTTAATTTTGAATTGAAATTTATTATTTTTCCATTGTAGATGAAGCACTTCAAATTCATAAATATTGATGTTAGTCTTATTGCGAAAGTTTGAACACATTGCTACATAACATTGTTTGATTTTGTTTAACCTTAATAAAATTAAATTCACTATTTTGTAATATTGGGCTATTTAGCATCATACAAAATATGTAATTTTATTGTGTGAAGAATGCATTTTTTTTTTTACATTGCAACACATATGTTAGCATTTTTCGAAAGAATCTTAAATATATAGTAATGTTTTGAAATAATATTTTATACTAACAATATTAAATTGTGATATAAAATCAATAAAAGGGAGAGTTGGACACAATTACATTTTTTATTTTTTATTAGTTTTTAATTTCGAATCTCTAATTTATTTTTGTTTTGTTTTTTTGAAATTTATTTTATTTAAAGTCATAAGGATACATTTGCTTCTTTATAAAAACATGACAGATATTTTTGCACTTCTTTAAAAGTTCAAGGATATATATGAACTTCAAAATATACTTCAGGGGTATATTTGTTCCGAGAAATAGAACATGAGCATATTTCTACCTTTTTCCTTTAACAATTAGTTGAAAAATCGTATGGTTGTTCAAAACATCTGATTGTTGTGGAGCTTTTAGTATTTAGATTTGATGTACTGTTTTGGGAAGAAAAGCATATAGGCCAATTCTAACATTTACAATGATAATCATGGTTGTAGTTTTAGGGAATGGAGTTGTCAAATTGCTTCATGTATGGTTGTCTCTCGCATCATTCTGTCACAAATGAAATCGAGATGGAGACCTAATTCCCATTAGTCTATTATTTCAGAATAAAAAACCATTAGTGTTGGGACAGAGTATCGAATTTTATACCAAGAAATTTCTCAAAATGAGAGTAAATAAAGTACTATCTCAATTCCACAAAACTTTGTCAATTTTCTCTTTTCGGTCGCTCCAAAAAACTTTGTCGTTTCTACTACTTAAAGTAACAAATATGTGGATAAAGTTATTTATCTCTCATCTGCACAAATATCAACCGCACTGTTTTTATTTTATTAATCAACGTGCAAGTTAACATTGACCAAATTTTATGAGATGGATGGAGTAGTATTCTAACTAGATTTTATCAATTCAAGATCTAAAAGATAGATTAATTGTCGAAAAATGTCCTAAACGGGACTAACGAGTCTTTGAAAAGCACACAAATAGGACTACTACTTTTAAATTCCCCAAATAGAACTAAACATTGATTTTCTTCCCTAAATACCCCCCTAAGGGTATAATTCATAATGAAATGTTTTAATTCATAATAAAATCATAATAAAAATAAATAAAATATTTATAAAATACATTTTTTTTTGAATTTTTGTTTTTTTAAATTATTATTAATTTTTTATGATAATTATTTAATTATCAATTAAAACATTTCAAAATCTACAAGGGTATATTTGTCCACACACATTGACACACATAAATAGTCTTATTAGGGAAATTTAAAAAATGTAGTCCTATTTGTTCAATTTTTTCACTTTTTAGCTCTATTTGGGGAATTCACTCATTAATTATCAATTTGAGATTTGAATCGACGTATAGGGCTCGAATGATTCCAAATAGAATTCACTCATTAATTACCAATGTAGGACCCAACATTCCATAAGTTAACAATGTGACAAAATGTGTAGAACCACAAATTAATTGCTTTAATAGGAAAGTGACAAAATTTTTTGGGACAACCAAAAAAGAAAAGTTAACAAAGTCTAATGGGACGGAGGGAGTAATAAAATTCATGATAACTTAGATCATAGATAGATAGTTTTCAATCAATCGAGACAAGTACTGAAACATTTCATCTTTAAGGTCATATATCATATACGAAGTATCTTTCAAATCCCAAATGATAGCCCGCAAAATATGAGTAAAATGTTTTTTCTTCAATAGAAATGAAGTTTAATTATTCCAAACTCATGATATTTTGGCGTTATGGTAGTACTAATGTCGTATTTGGCAGTTGTTTTACAAAATGATAGCAATTACACTTGTTTTGAAAAAATAAACACAATTATGTTCTAAATTTCATATTGTATTTAAATTTGTATAAAGCGATATTACATTGTTTTGGCTCCGACTTTGTAGTACCACTATAACCGTATAACATAACATACTACTTTATTGGTTAATGATAACAAACTTTAGACAATTATTTTAATTAGGGAAAATGGAAACTAATAATCCAACCTTTTAGCGATCTTCTTACAATAGTCCCACCTTTTCATTATTAATTTGAAAACTATAAGACAACCTTTTGTATACTTCTTCCGTCTCTTTTTAGTTGCAACAGTCAACATTTCACGTTTGCCAATGCACAACTTTGATCGTCATTATATTTAATTATGTATTAGTAAAAATAAATTAAAAATCAGATTATAAAACTTAGTAATGAGACAAATTTAACAATATTTTTCAAAAAAATAATAATTCACATACATCAATAAATAAAATGTAGCCAAAGTAAAGTATATGAATAGTGTATATATTCCAATGTTGCAATTAATGGGATACGGGGATAGTATAATTTAAAAAAAAATATACTTTTATGAAAACATTTGAAGGAACATTTTAATGAAATTTTCATATTCAAAAATGTTTCGTAATAAAAAATATCATATTCAAAACTGATAATCATTGACTAAGAGAAAAACAATTTGGCAAAATTTTAGGAATGAAGGGAGTACTTTTCTTCCTCCGCGAAACAGATTTGCCAACAAAACAATTAACCAGATTGACTTGTGGTATTTTATTTCTCCCCAATTTTAAATTAGTGTTAATAATTGTGGAGTAATCGATATATATATATATATATATATATATATATATATATATATATATATATATATATATATATATATATATATATATATATATATATATAAGGAACTTTTTAAGAGCATACAAAGCGCCACATAATCCTGCTATGTCATTATATATAGCAATTATTTACTTATTTTTATACCTTTTGTTTTTATTAGATTCTATTTTTGATTGCATATTGATATGGAAACAAAAAAACTTATAAATCCACCTTAATTAATTTGGTAAGCTTCAAATAAGTAAAATAATTTTGGGTTACCAAAGTGAAATTCTAATAACGTTTATTGATATGGAAACTAATTTATATTAGTTTACTACACCGAATTAAATAGAAACACATGTGCAAATTAGTTTAGTTATTAATTTGACACCTATTAATAAATTAGTAAGCTTCAAATAAGTAAATAATTAAAATGAAATTAAAAATTATAACCAACATAAAGTATATATATTTTCACAAGTAAATATGTTTAGCTTAGCCAAATAAGTAAATTTTTTTGGTTGTTTCTTTATTTTACACCTAAAATTCATATATGCCTTCACTTTTGAAATAGATTCCTAATCCAAATTAGAAAATCTTTATAGGTTTACGAATTCCTACTTTTATTTTAATTGAATGTTTTTAATTGGATTGATTTCAGTTCCAGATTAAATCAGATCAGATCAAACTTTAATAATTATAACAATAAGTCACATAAAAAACAGACATATAATAGACCATATAATTAACTTTTTTTCATATTTTTTTTCTTTGTTTCACAAATGGAATATATTTCACATATATTTTTCATGATTCAGAAGATTTCACCTATTTAACCAGAATTCAATCAATTTCAGCAAAATAAGTTAATTCTATTTACTTTAGTATTATCAAACAGACTCTATATTAGACTAAGTTTATTTTTCTTTTAAATCACATTATATGTGATCCGATAGAAATTAAATTTCAAATTAGCTAAATTACATCTTGAAAGAGTTTTGTATTTAAAAAGAGTTTTGTCACTTTCAATCCCCCGACTATTATACCAGGAAGGCAGTAACATTTTTGATATTCCACTTCTAATTCTTCATTTTTACTCTTTTGACTATTGTACAAAACACTTTTAGTCCTTACTTCAATGTTCTCGATATTTAGTCTCCCCAATATTATAAAATTGATACTTTTAGAGTTTTTGTCTTCCACTATTGATTTTGCCATCGAGTGAAAGATGAAGAATATCACTACTATTATTGTAATAGTTGAAGAATCAAAAGTGTCATTTTTATGAAAGTTGAAAGACGGATTATGATTTTTTTCAAAGACGGGTACCAAAGTGTCTTTCGTAGTTTCGTATAATAGTTGAAAGAAAAAAGTCAAAAATTCAAATTCAAGTACCAAAAGTGTCACAATAATTGGAGAATTAAAAGTGACAAAAACTCTACTTAAAAACCGGACTTAAAGTTCTGTGCAACCGGAAGAATCAGATTCGAAAATGACTATCAATTGATGCTCAAATTCGAGAACGCAAAGAACTTGCTTCGACCAAAGACAAGTATTCTGAAAATCATCATGGGACCAGAAGTATAATTAAACACAAACTTTCTTTCATAAGAATTCTCGGTCTGATAGATAGATGTACATAAAAATTACCAGAAAGTCTAATAACAAAACTCTGGGACAATCCAACACGGATAAAAATCGCCAGAGAAAAATGAGCATCAATAATGGTGCAAGTTTGCTGGTCTCATGAAAGAAAAAAGATTGATTTTATAATAAATAAATTAAAAGGAGGATAAGATTTAGAGGCCCAAGACATGGAGCATAATGGCATTCTGGGCATGCATCCTGTTTTCAGCTTGGGTGAACACAATTGAGTTTGCTGTTTCTACTACCCCATCAGTCACCTCCACCCCTCTTTCTGCTGGTAAACAATGCATGAAATACGCTTTTGGGCCCGCTAATTTCATCAGCTTTTCATCTACCTGTGCATAGTTATCAAATCATCAGTGCATCACATCCATGTTTCATATGACCAAATGAAGACTGAAGAAGATGTATCCATTTTGAACGGTAAGTTATTTTCTTGAATTTGTTTTATGTTTTCTATATTTGTACCAAGGACATTATATCATACGAGTATGTCATAGATCAACTTATATTTAAAAAGAATCATTTTCCACAAGTTTTTGTTTGTCATTTTCCATAACTGAATTAAATCAAGAACAAATAAAACGATATCTAGCTAGTAAAACTGTAAAAGTCATACCTGAAACCCTTGAAAGACTTTACGTCGATGTGCTGCTTCTTCCTTTTGGCCCATGGAGGCCCAAACATCTGAATAAACAACATCAGCTCCTTTAACAGCTTCCTTTGGGTCATTAGTTATTTCAATTTTGCCAACTCCCGCTTGTTGTGCGACTTCAACCGTCTTCTGATCAGGCTCAAACCCTTTTGGGCAAGCACAAACAAAGTGGAAAGGAATCACAGAAGCTAACAATAGCCAAGAGTGCACAATGTTGTTTCCATCTCCAACGTAGACAACCTTTGTCCCTTCAAGATGTCCAACATGTTCAATTATTGTAAGTGCGTCGGCCATTATTTGACAAGGATGGTTATAGTCTGTCAGGCCATTGACCACAGGTACGCTTGCATATTTGGCTAGATCCAATATATCCTAGAATAAAGGAAAAACTCCGCTGAAATTAATTATACTAACTTGTGTCTACTTCATCCTAAAAAGGATCTCTAAGAGGTGAAATACATACACCACACACTTATATACTATTATACTACACTCAGAGTCTCAGACCTCCTAGATAAATGTGGGATACTCAACATACCCCATCTTAGGCCCTTTTATTATAGTTGTGAGTTTGGAGCCAAGTGGTGCGATGAAAATCTAGCTGCAGTGGTGAATTCAGTATTTAGAGATGATGTCAAACACAGCTATAAACTCGACATTTGTTTCATAAACTAACTATGTGGGTGTGATTGAAATGTTAAAAAATATCAACAAAAATTGTTGTTTTTAAAAATTAACATAATTATTCAAAAAAATACTCCATATTAAGTTGAAGTAAAAAAATACTCCATATTAAGTTGGAGTAATAGTTTTAAAATAAATCAAAGCGAAATTACAGGAGTTTTCAAGCTGCATAGCAAAAGTAATATGAGACATTGTCAACAATCTCACCATACAGCAACAATTCACGTAAAACAACTCCAATCACTTTATTCTAGTACATAACACTCACCAAGCTCACCACACCGCTAAAAGAAAGGAAGCCTAAGGGAAAGTGGGCTCGGCAACAACAAAAGGTGGACAAATGAGTGGCCTAAACCAACCTTGACATGGGTTTGACCCATACTGTCGAGTAAGCTCAGTCCTACAAACCACCATGAGATCAAACTCTGATATAATGTAAAGTTTGGTCGAACTAATGCTAAAAGGGCTCTCTAGAGTAAAGTTTACCGCACAAAACCTAACCTACAACCAATGTCGCATACCTGATGAGCAAAAACCCGTGCCATTATGATATCATTATAGCGAGAAAGAACGCGAGCAACGTCACGGGTTTCTTCCCGCTTCCCCATCTGGATATCATCTGGCCCCAAATATATTGCATGCCCACCAAGCAAGTAAAACCCGGTTTCAAATGAGACCCGAGTCCTCATGGATGGCTTAGCGAAAATCATTGACATTGTCTTCCCCTTAAATGGATGATATGCTTTGTTACCAGATTTTACAAGTGCCTTCACCTCTCTAGCTCTATCCAAGATTTTCAAAATAGTCTCTTTGTCAAAATCATTGATGTGGAGGAAGTCTTTCTGAGGACTGCGTTCTGCAATACAGAGTGCACAAATGCTCTAAGCAAATTGAATGATGGCTTAGTTTAAAAAACAAAGAAATTTAAAGAACATTACAAGGGGTTGAACATGAGTTCAAGCTATATTTTAAGGAGTATTTATTACGAAAATGTGAGCTTGTTTACTAACAGAGATATTTTCCAATTTTCTATTTCTGTTTTCCATTCTCCAATTTTATGTTTTCATTTTACAGTTTTTCTATCTCCAATTTTTTGTTTTCATTTTTTAGTTTTCCATTTTCAAATCCGAAAACATGTTCATACAGTTTTTTCACCCAGTTCTGTGACCGACCAAAAGAGTGAAAGTATAGCCCCAGTCTGGAACCGAACCTAGTACAAGCCAAGCAAGGTACGGGGTCCCACTGATAGGAAAGTCGAGACAGAAACCGGCCATTCCTGATCGATCTCAACAGTTAGTTTGATAAATTCTTTTCCCATTTCCCTATTAGTTGACAACTCTTTTAAAACTCTTCACTTTAAAAAATGATTTCGAAAAACCAAGACTGAACCGCCGAATCATTGACCGGCCCTGACAGGGACCGCCGGGTCATTTACAGGACTACCTCGGAACCGCCCGGTTATCGATCAGACCGAAAACAGACCATTGAGTCATTTGCTAGACAGGATGGGGATCGCCAGGTCGTTGATCAAACAGGACGGAGACCGCCGGGTTGTTGACCGGACAAGGACTGTCGGGTCGTTGACTAGACCGGGATTGCTGAGTCGTGGACTAGACCGGATAGAGACCGCCGGGTCGTTGAACGGTTTAGGACCCTCGAGTCATTGACTGAACTGAATCGGGATTGCTCGATCGTCGACCGGATCGGACATGGACCGTTGGATCAATGACCGGAACGCCAAGTCGTAGACCGGACCAGATAGGGATTGTCGGGTCGATGGCCGGACTCGAACTGACACCGAAGCGGGACCTGATCCAACACTAGGCATAAGTATGCAAATTCATTGCAGCGGCACTGCATCATTCGCGTTTTCCAAATTTGGATAACAAGTAAAAGTCACTTCTTAATTCATTACGCAAAACAGAGACATCTAATTTTTTTGGTTTTAGAAAACGATTTGGTAAACACAATTTTGTATTTTCCTTTATCCAGTTTTCCAGCATTTTTTTGTGATTAACACGTGATCTGTTTTCTTTTCTCTAGTTTTCCGGTTTTCTGAAAAACTGGAAAATATCTCTATTAGTTAAAAGGCCCTGATATTTTTTTGGGAAAAGTACGGAAAAAGTACTTGTGGTTGGGCCTATTTTCAGTAGGGGCGGGCAAGAATCCCGGTCCCGTTGTCCCATTCCGGTATATCCCGAAACCGTACCGGTGTTGTCCCGTTCCGTTTGGGTCTCATTGATTTTGTCCCGCACCGGTCCCGTACCGGTTTAAAACGGGACAGGACCGGGACATTGGAAGGTTATCCCGAACCGTCCCGTTGTCCCGTTTGTAATAACTATATAGATTTTGTTGCATGTGACTAGTTTGTAATGTCAACTCAAAAAATAAATGATAACATGTTTTTAGTTTTTCAAGCCCAATTTTTAAATTAAAAATAATACCTAACATAAATATTTACTAACATAGGTTTTTACCTCAGTTTATATATCTACATATTAGTATCTCACAACTAGAACACATGATTTTGAATAAACTAATTCATTTTTGCTTTGTTTTAAATTTAAATTTCAAATTTTGCTAAACCTAACTAAAATCTAATACGTAGTAGCTTTTAGCTTGTGATGAACATCAATTAACTTTTAAAATGTTAATATTTTGGTGCATGATATTTTAGAAATGCTAATATATATTAGTTACAAATGATTATTTTTTGTTAGTTTGGGACGTCTCGAACCGTCCCGAATCATCCCGGTCCCGATTTAAATGGGACAAGACTAGGACAAAGGCTTGTCACGTACCGTCCCATCACATTATTATTAATTGGGACAGGACCGGGATAACCCTAATCCCGAACCGTCCCGACCCATGCCCACCCTAGTTTTCAGATAGGGTCATGTGTTTCATTCTTTATTAAAGTAGTTCATGTGTTTGAATTCCGTTATCACAAGAGGGTCACGCCGTTAAAAACGTCTAAAAAGACTGTTAAAAGTAACTCCGATTTTCAAAAGTGCCCAAAAAATTAAAAGAAAAACACTGAAAGGTGCGCCTCGTCAAGATGACCTCCAAACCACCTCCGCCTTTGGATTTTTCAAATCTGTTTGAATTATTTTTTAAAATGATTTCACTGATGTCATTTTTCCGATGGACTTTCCGGTGACAAGGGTGGCTCAAAACAAAAAAGAAAGATAGCCTAGCGGTTGTCTTATTGTGGCGCACCTTCCGGTATTTTTCTTTTAATTTTTCGGGCACTTTTGAAAATCAGAGTTACTTTTAACGGACTTTTTCGGACGTTTTTAACGGCATTACCCTCTTGTGATAACGGAATTCAAACACATGAACCACTTTGATAAAAAATGAAACACATAACCCTATCTGAAAACGGGCTCAACCACAATTATATTTTCCGTACTTTTCCCTATTTTTTCATAAAAAATTACATGTTCTTTGAAGAGTGTTGTTAAATAGCATATGTCTATGGGTGTATACTAAACATCTTCACATTGAAAAATAAACATACAAAATTCCTGTGAATCTGATCTCATCTAGTGGCACAATAGAAACTTATTTCAACACAATTGAAAATATCAAATTCATGTTTGGATCAATTTTCAAAATTCTCTTTTTGTTTTGAGAAATTTGAATGAGCAACAATGCTCCTTAGCTATGTTTCTGTCTATATCATTGGCTACTTAATCTATAAATTATAAAAGGTCCTTTTAGAAAAACATCAACCTCCATTTGATTATGAGAAAGTAGATATGCAACTTCCCATTAACATGTATTTTAAACAACCTCATCAACACAATTATGCATAATGATATAACCTATCACCGCATATGTATTTAAAGTAATCACAATAAATACTATACATTAAAGCACACACCTCTTGGCTCTTGCAGATCTTAAATGCTGTATACATATGCAATCAAAAGAAAGAACACAATGAGTTGCAAACCTTTCCCACTGATGGTGGATAAAGAGACAGCTGGAGAGGCAGTTTGGCAAGAAACACATTGACGAGTTGCCGGAGAAGTGGTCTGGGGTGAAAAGGAGACACCAGGGAACCGCAATGAAAATCCATTGGACTGACCGAACGATGAAGAAATGGAGGCAAGCTGTAACGAAATAGAAGCCATTGTTGTAGATGACAAGAAGATATGCTTGAAAGAGCCCTACCTGTGAGATTTATAGTTATATAAGTGTAGGCAAGATGAAAGTCTCCAAAGAAAATATAATTGTATCATTTTCTCATCCTTCCAATCCATGGACTTCATTCGGTACCTTAGTTTTTTAAAAAGTAAGGCACACCTGTGCTAAAATGCATATATATTAATTCTACATGATATCTTGTACTCAAACACAATAATACCCTGTTCTAAACACTTAAGTAGTTAAAATACTACTCGGTAGCAACTCGGTGAAGGGCCGAGTAGGACTGAGTACTCGGGGTTACCTTCCATGCATTAATTAAATTTAAAAAATTTACTCCGGTGGTTGAACCACTGACTCAGTGCACAATAAAATTAAATAAAAATTAAGCTGTAGTTGATATAAAATTACTATATGGGTTGAAACATGAGATTGAAATGAGTATAGAACCATCGTGCATTGTTTTTCAAATGCATCCCAAATTGCGTGATTTCACAATCCATATTAATACTATCAATCGAATTTTATACTACCTCCGTCCCTTAAAACTTTGACAAAGTTGACCGGCACGGGAAATAAAAAAGTAAAAACTGTGTGATTGAGGTTTGTGTAGAGGAGAGAGAAATAACAAAAACCACAAAATAATTGATTAAAAGGGAAAGTGCCAAAGTTTTTTTGGACGTCCCAAAAAGGAAAGATGACAAAGTTTTAAGAGACGGAGGGAGTATAATATTGTACTCCCTCCGTCCCACTATGGTTGTCCCATCTTTCTTTTTCGGTCTGTCCCACTAAGATTGTACCATACCAAATTTGGTAAAACTTGTGTGGTTCTAAATCATTCTTACTTTATCAATTCAATATTAACCACATAAATCCATTTTTGCTTAATAGTCGTGCCACTTCCTCATGTCGCAATGCTAGTGGCACGGAGGTAGTAGCCACTATGTTAGTAATATAGTATAATTGTTCAAAATAATAAAGGAATCCGATAGTCACGATTCCTGACATTTTTGCAATTTTGAAATAGAACTGCTAGCCTGCTTCTTGAACGAATCAAAGGTGAAGTACAATAAAATTATGTTCTTTATAAACTGTAAAGTCAATGCCTCTAAAATGCAATCTTGATATCATGCCGATAGATCAGTCATGATTTTCTTCTTCATGGTGCGAGGTGGTTGAACTGAATACATAATTAATGTATAAAATAGGGAAAAGTAAAGTAAAAGTGCTTGATGTTTGGGTTGTTTTCAAATAGGAGCATGAGGTTCATTTTTCACAATGTGGGGCATGTGCTTTCACTTTGAGAATTTCCGTCCAAACGCAGTAAAAAAGAAGGCAACGTGGATGTATAAAAAGGTGACATGTCACCTTTTTCTGACGGTGTTTCGACGGAAAGCCTAAAAGTGAAAGCACATGCTCTACTTTGTGAAAAAATGAACCTCATGCCTCTATTTGAAAATGGCCCAAACCACAAGTACCTTTATTGTACTTTTCCCTATAAAATATGAAAAGAATAAACCGTTTTAACATGATTTAAATCCATTAAAATTCATAACAATATTTTTAAACGGTACATACAATATGTGCAACTAAAACGTTAACTGAACACGACATTCTTTGACCATGGAAAACTCATTGATGTGTTATGTGTTGTTGGAGAATATTCCAACAACTTAAATTTGTTGAACCAAGTAGGTTGAAAACGAGGTATCTTATCTTTGTATTCTCGGCCTTTGTAAAAGTTCAGTTTAGGTTGATAAGGTCCAAGCATCAAATAAAATTGTCTGATTTCATCTTTTTACTCTAATGCCCATCATTTTTTTCTGTTTTCCCGGATACCGCTTAAATTCAAGTGTACCAGAAACTAAATCTCTTGAACGGATGAAATATTTGGAGTTTCAATTGAGAGATTGAACTCTTGTCTGTTTTCAGTACTTGTAGTAGGCTTATAAAACGAAAGAAATGTTGCTTTTTCATTTTCGGAAGTAGATTGGGTAACATACGTACTTAAATTGACAAAAATTATAAACTTATCAATATTTTATTTTCTTTAAAAAAATCAATATTTTATTTTAAACAACATAATTCATATCAATACTTCAAAAAATTCGCAAATCACATTCCTAATTTTCCATTTCACAATTCAAATCACACAAATGAATGAAATCACACAATATCACAAATTAAAATAACATCTAACATACTTAAATTAAAAATTAAAATCGAAAATAATAATAGAAATACTTACCTGAGAGAAGCAGAAGGCTAAATTGCCAAAACCAGGGGCGTCCAGAAACTGAGAAGCAGAAGCCAGTTAGCCGGAGTCCAGATAAGCAGACTAGGAGGCTAGGAGCAGCACTCAGCAACGCCGGGCCGAGGCACGAAGGGCCGTGTGGCGTCCGGCCGTCCGGCGATGCGAGCAGGGTAGCAACGAGCGGCCGTGCGGCGATTCGAGCGGTGTTGCGTTCTTCGCTGACTTGGCTCCTTGCTACTGGCTCTATGCGAGCGACCTCTGCTGCGTGCTTTGCGTTTTTCTTCAGTTCATCTTTTGGTTCTTTCATCTATTGGATTGGGCACTGCACTGGGCCAGACATTTTTTTTCAATGGGCCAATTGTAAATTTTTCTTTTTAAATAAAGGGAGACTTCCCAAAATAGGAGTAAATGAAGTTTGAAATTCTCAAATAAGACTATTATGTTTTTATTCCTTTTTGGAAAAGAAATATGTAATCTACAACATTTCATTTTATTTTGTTCAAATCTGAACCACAAATTTTACTTTTTTAACTAGTCTATTAATAATATTTCTCAAATTAAAACAAGACACATAAAGTGGGACACATGTGGTAGTAGTAGTAGTAATTACTGCTCCCTCCACCCCGTACAAAGTTTCCCATGTGGTTTAAGATGTTTGGATGATCATAACGTTATCTAATCTCTGTTCTTAATAAAATTATTTTTAGTAAATAAAATTTACATATTCAAAAACTACATTAACATTTTTATAAAGTCACAAAAAACTCAAAATAGTCGAGCACAATAGTTGACTTCAGTCCTCGACTATTGTGTTTAAGACACTTTTGGTACCTGTTTTTGAAAATTTCCATATTTAGTCATTCGACTTTAATAAAAGTAACACTTTTGGTTCATCAACTATTATAATAGTGACATTTTTAGTCATCCATTTATTGTGTTAAAATTATACTAGGACTAAAAGTGTCAATTTGATTTAGGGGTAATTTGAGTTTGCACTCCATTTTATTGTCCAAATTAGACTAAGCCCTCCATTTAAAAAAAACATTGTATTGGCAACCCAACCCTATATGAAAAGACAAATATGCCCCTCCATAAACAATTTTGTTGGCCTTCAACATATTTCTGATCTAGGGGCATTTTTGTCTTTTCATACGAGGTTGGAGTGCAAATACAATTTTTTAAAAAACGAGGTGCAAAGTCTAATACTCTAATCTGGACAATAAAATGAGATGCAAACTCAAATTGCTCCTTTGATTTACTAACTGTGAGAAGCTTTGATGTCGATGACCGAAAGTATCCTAGCAGAATAGTTGAGGACTAAAACTAAAAAAATTACTAGTTGAGTAAAGCTTGGCACAGCCGATGAAAGATGATCGATGTCTTCTCTGATTTTCTTGGTGATAGGCACTAGTTGTTAGTGCCTAAGTATACATTTTTATTATTGTTTGTAATGTTTATTTACTAGTTTTGTGCAAGTTTGTAGTTGTTAGTTTGCATTTGATTGTAATTGTATTTCTAGCATTTTATTGTTTGATGTAAGTTGTAGCTTGTTGGGCTATATGTTTAGGATAGGGTTGGAAGCAAAAAGGGTGAAGAAACCTGAGTTTTGTGCAAAACCCGGTCGGGTATGGCCTATACCCGGCCGGGTATGAAGTGAAAGAGGAAGCTTCTGGGAAATTATATCAAATACCCGGTCGGGTATTCCATATACCCGGTCGGGTATGAAGTGATTTCAGACAGAATGACGTGCAGAAGAACACGAAAACGTGAGAAAAAGATTTGATTTGACAAATACCCGGTCAGGTATGTCAAATACCCGACTGGGTATCCGTCCATGGGTGTTGAAAACACGTATAAATAACCTCATTTTCCTTCACTTTTTATCATCCCTTCTTCCACACTCTTAAACTGAGTTTAGAAATAGCATTTCTTTATATTTTCTAGCTATGTTTAGTCTCCAAATGAGGAGCTAAACTTCCATTTCTTGGTTTTGCTCTTAAAGCTTGTTGATTATTAAAGTTGTGAGTTATTTTCTTAACTTCTCTTCTTGAATATTGATTCTTCCCTTAATCTCATTCTATATTAATGTTGGGGTGTTGCTAAGTGACGATTAGTTAACACTTTGACATTAATTACTAGAAACGATCAACGAACCGATGGTTAATCGTTGATGGTTTCACAAGTAACTTCGATTTATTAATGCACGATCGTGGTTAATAGACTTAAGAGAGATTAATTTTGTTGGTTAAATTGAAACCGTTGTGTTGAGGTTATCTATCTCAATTGATTTCATCAAGGAGTTAAAAAGATTAAATGCTACTATTAAATCGGTGTACGACGTTGTTCTATATTTGATAAATAGTAAGAGTTGTTAATGAACAGTCGTTGTTAATAACTACCCTCAAAGAATTGGATATACTCCTCGATTGAGTATTCGAGAGGGGATAAGTTATGGATATAACAAAGACCGACTAAATATATCAACAAGTGGAAAGTAGCAAAATCAAGTTCTTTTTATTTTTAAATTAAATCACATATAAGTTGTTCATCTTAGTTTTTAATTTAATTAAATCATTCAACACCAAAACCCCCTTTAATTACTAGTTTCATTTAAAAAGAGATTTATTCATTACCATGTGGATACGAACTCTACTTCACTATATTACATATAAGTGTTAGTATTGAATTTATTTTGACGCACTACGACAAAGTGCTCGTCAAATTTTGCGCCGTTGCCAGAGAAAGGCAATTATTTTTCTTTTTATTTCTTTTAAGAAAAAAAAATAAACAAAATATAAAGAGATCTTACTGTTAGGAAATTGATGTAACGTACCTCGAAAGTACAGCAGCGGAAGTTTAAAATTTTCCCAAACAGATCTTTCCTGATTATGAAAAAACAACGAATATGACAATAATAACAGATCTGAATTAGAACTTACAGATCTTCCAGCCTAGCGGTGATAATCCTTGACCTTAGGTATCCACGTGATTTCTCCTCTCCGAAAGAACGGTTAGATCTCCCTAAGAGAAAGGCTAGGAAATCTCTTTGCGGGGAAATAAACTGGTAATACTGAATCTAAAACTGGTCTTTTGAATATGAAGGAGGAGGGTGTATTTATACTAGTTCTAAACTAGTTTCCCAATCACAATGAAAGTCTTCCCAATAAATGAGTTCTAGTCTAACTACAACTAATACCATTTATTAATTAAATAAAGATATAATTAATAAATAATAATAATAAAAAAAAACATCCGTACATTGAAAAGAGAATGGGTGCAGCCGCCACTCTCATTCTCTTGATAGACCTTTTATTATTATTATTTATTTAATATTTTCTTGAATATTCTTTAATTCTAAAATGCATCCAACAAAATATCAACTTTATTATTTAATTATAAATATATCTTAATTAAGTATAATAAATCTAATTTATTCCACTTAAATAGTTCTATCAAATAGAACTCTCCTTCAACTTCATAAGTTAAATATGTTTAATCTAATTAATATTTAATCCATTTTCAGTATTACAAATTAAATATTATTTAATCCAATTAATAATATTTAATTCCTTCTAACAATTCGATCGGAAGGTATAATCACTTGTTGTGTGACCCATAGGGCCTTATATATTAAGCACTAATCAAATTAAGGTCTTAGCAGAATCCCTAGACGATTTACCAGACAATCTTAATATATAAGGACGTTTGTGAGGACTATTCAAACTCCCTGTAATATAGAGCTCATAGTGATACGGTCCTTTCATTCAACGAACATTCAACTGAGTCTAGAACATGATATTGTGTCTATTCCAATAACTCAGTCTCTGTCTCTCAATCTTTCTAGATGATCCATAACGATCATATTCGATATCCAAAAACGAATATATCTTTGCATTGGCCAATGACTTTATGATCCATCTAAATATGAGAAGTAGAATGTTCTCTCTTAATCTATTATGAGGAATGAATCCTTTCTTGGCTCAACTACTACTCCATGTGCTTCGTGATGCACCCAACACATGCCGTATCTACCCCGATTGGAGTGCAAGCGTTGGTCATGGTCAAAGTACATCACTCCACACATGTAGTATGTATTGACCTCACGTCGGAGGACTATTACACAACTCTATGCGCCGATATCCCATAGACACATGAATAGAACTTATCAAATGGTTTCTCGGTGGGTATGCCAATATTCTCTAAAATATCTATGTGACCATCGTGAATTACAGGAACTCATAGTTGTGAGAACAACTATACTTTCTAAAAGTATGATGCAGTACACATACCAATCTTATCGCATATCATCAATATCCCATTCTTGATGATCATTGATTGGGGCTATTTTAGGACCTTATGTTATATCATATAAGCTCTCACTTACTTATTGACAACATAAGTCTAAGGGAACACAATTATGAATAAGATATTGACAATCGAAACACTTAATCATCAATGTGTAATACCGTATATATCAAATATATAAAACTGAATGTGATCAAGTACATATATCTCTAAAAAGTGATTGTCGCTAGGACATATATACTAACAATCTCCCACTTGGCCTAGTGCCAATCACCGATGCACCTATCACCCAGACTCTCAAAGTCTAGTGTGTTTCTCACATCTCAAAGGTTTGGTGAATGAGCCAGCCAAATTGTCCTCTACGGGAATGCGTTCTATGGCAACTTCTCATCTTGCTATTTGTATCAAAATATAATAGCATACTGGTATTTTCTAGTTCCTTACTTTGCATCTTGGTTCCTTAGCTTGTGCAAATACACCGGTACAGTCACAATAACAATTATTGGATAACTGTCGCTAGGAACTACCCCTATTTCTTTAAGGAACTAACGTATCTAAATGCTTACCTATGTTGCATCAAATGCAACAATTTACTAGGCTCTAGTTGTCGAATTTATAGTAGTTTCTTACTTGCAACTCTTTCAGCACTACTATTACATTGTGACTAAAAACATATAGTGACTGTGACTCGTAGTCATTCTTATCATACATGAAACTAGTGATAGAATAATTAATTTCTACTAGCTCTTTCTGTCTACCATAGACAAAAAGATATTCATGAAGATTTTGGGTGACCATTCTTTCACGGACTTCAATGAGGGAACATCATTCTCTATGATCAACATGTATGATTATAAAGACCACGCTATCCTTGTTGCGCACTCTAAACACGCAAGCACCCTCATTTCATTTGATGAGGTCAAACGATTTGACTATTTCATCAAAATTAATATTTCAACTCCTAGAGGCTTG